AGGATTGAACCCAGTGTCTCACACTTGCTAGGCAAGCACTCTACCACTGAGCTACATTCCCAACCCTGGGAAGTGAGTTTTTATTACAATATTCCACCTATTGTGGCATATCTAATAAGACTAGTTGATTGCATGGATATACTCCTATTGGAGTGTCCTTTGCAGTGAAGTGAGTTTTTTTTTTTTTGTTGTTGTTGTTTTGTTTTGTTTGTTTTTGAGAGAGAGAATTTTTTTAATGTTTATTTATTTGTTTTTAGTTTTCGGTGGACACAACATCTTTATTTATTTATTTTTTAATGTGGTGCTGAGGATCGAACGCAGCGCCCCGCACACGCCAGGCAAGTGCTCTACCTCTTGAGCCACATCCCCAGCCCTGAAGTGAGTTTTTTAATTAAAAATAATGCTATATGGCCGGGTGCAGTATTGCATGCCTATAATCCCAGTGGCTGGAGGGGCTAAAGCAGAAGGATCGAGAGTTCAAAGTCAGCCTCAGCAAAAGTGAGGCGCTAAGCAACTCAGTGAGATCCTATCTCTAAGTAAAACACAAAATAGGGCTGGGGATGTGGCTTGGTGGTTGAGTGCCCCTGAGTTCAGTCCCTAGGACTGCCTCCCACCCCCCCAAAAAAGAAATAATGCTATGTGAATTCCATGATGAAAGATAAGTTATTTGTGAAGACATAGATGGTGGTGCTGACAACAGTATTACTAATGGCACTGTTACTACAGTCTGACCAGTCATTGGTCAGTGGTACACCATGCTTCAGCTCTGTACTTTTCAGGTGGTGCATGTCATACAGACACATCTATAAAGGGGGAGGTTTAGGTTTTGTGTTAGTATACTGGGTGGAAGGAAGCCATAGGCATGGGTTGAGGGAAAGGGACAGTGCAATTGAAGATGGTGTTGAAATAGTCTTTGCCATTTACTCATGCAATTTATTTAGGCTCACTGGACTTGCCAGAGCTCAGTGTCTTATATGCCATTTCCATTTAGTGTAGATTGATGCTACATATGCCCAAACGTAAGTCAAGGTGGGTCAAACAAGTCCCAGTTTATTTAAGGAAGATCGGACTATTTGGTCACTTGATGTCCCACAGTTGTTTATTCTCTACCGTGAGTCAGGGCTAAGCTTTTTCTCAAAAGGAGAATAATTTTCTGCAGAAAATTGCAGATTGATTCCATGCTACTAGAAGTCTGTACTATAAATCTCCTATTGGATATACTAGATCATTTGGGGTAAGTGCTTGAGGAGCTTATAGTATAGCTTGAACTTGCTTCTGAGCATGCTCTTGTTCTGGTCCCTCTTGATGTGTGTGTGTGGGGGGGGGTGGAAATTGTTGAGGCTTTTGTTTGTTTGAGCTTTTTTTTTTTTGGTCCCTCTTATCAGAGTCTTATTGGTGATTGAATAAAGCAGGTTCAAAGGTGGTATTTGTTTAAAAAAAGGACATTCTGTTGTTTGCAACAACATGAATGAACCTGAAGGATGTTATGTTAAGAGAAATAAACCAGGCACAGAAATGCATATACATCATGATCTCCTTGTATACCTAAGCTAAAAAAATTTGAGCTCATAGAAGTAGCAAAGGGATAAAGAGGGGGCTGTTGTCCAGAGGATATAAAATTTCAGTTGGAATTAGAAAGATCAAAAGATCTCTTATATACCTGGTGACTATTAGTTAATAACATGTTATATCCTTGAAAATTGCTAAAGATTTTAAGTGTTCTCATCACAAAATGAATATATATTTCAAAACAACATTGTATACTATAGTTTGTTGATTAAAAGTAAACAAATTGCATTCCGCTGTCATATGTAAATTAGAAAAAAAAAAGTAAACAAAGTGCTCCCCCGCCCATGCCCAAGGCCCTGGGTTCAATCCCTAGCACCACACACCAAAAAAAGTAAGCAAATTATGAAAAGTAAAAATTAACTGCAAATAAAGTGATTTCACAGTAGGTTATGGACATCTTTACATAGTTTGGGGTGTGTGTAATTATTATAGGGCTTTCAAAGAGACCAAGGTTAGTCTACTAAGAAGTCAAAGGAGAAAATACTTCCCTGGGAAGTGAGGTTTAGAGTATCCTGGGGTTAAGAGGGTGACTGTCATTTGCCCCCATTCCACGTTTCATACTCTTCCCTGATTGTTTTGTAAATCTTAAAACTTCATATTTTTCTGATGCTTCAGTATTTCTCATCCAAGGCCACCAGATGTGCCAGTGTGGTAAGGCTGGCCTCTGCCACAAATTCTTCTTATACCCTCTAACTGTGAACTCCTGACATTCAAAGGCACCAATGGAATCCCTTTACTACTTTTGCTTAATTACCTCACTCAGACTTCTAGTAAACCCCCCCACCCCATAGGTTGTCACCCTCTTACAGCTGCTCACCTGCTTGGTTCAACCTGCTTTCCCTTGTAGTCCCCTGCTTGACTTGCTGTGCTTTCCTCTCTAGAACCTGTGAATATAATAAATCTTTAATATTATGTGCTTCTCTGAATGTAATTTCTTGGCCATGTTGGAGTAATCTCCCCTGTTTTTAACACACTGATTAATGCCCTAATTTTCACATAAGAAATTAGGTGAGGTTGATATTGATGTTGTAACCCCCCCACACACACACTAGGGTTTGAACCCAGGTGTGTGCTTTACCATTGAGCCTCATTCCCAGCCCTTTTTATTTTGAGACAGGGTCTCACTAAGTTAGAGACTAGCTTCAAACTTGTAATCCTCCTGCCTCAGCCTCTGTAGTTGCTGGGATTATGGGTATGCACCAGTGTTGTAACTTAATCCATTCGCATAAATTTTTTTGTTTAATTTTTGACAATAACAGCCCCTGTGGTGACGAAAACATTTTTTTTTCCCATGAGAACTATCATAGAAGCTCTTTGGTTCTTAGTTCTTAAATTGAGCTGCAGTTCTGAGCTTTTCACTTTCTGCACAAGCACATTCAGAAGACACAGTCCTTTTAGTGATTATTACTGCTATACTGGTTACAATGCACTATTCATTTGGCCTTCCAAGACAAGTGTTAGAGTTGGTACTTTATCAACCACAGGTACCATCTTGGTTAATATGGTTCAGCTGAATGTGTTTCCTATTGGTAAGGAGCTCAGTTCTTTTATGGCTCAAAGAGTGGGTGAGTGAATGGACTGGAAGGGAATGATTGTGGGCATATTGTAGGCACTGTACTTGGATCTAGATCCCCTTTCTCCCATATTGGGGATTGAGCCCAAGGGTTCTCTATCCTCACCTCTTTTTTTATTATTTTTTATTTTGAGGCAGGGTCATACTAAGTTGCAAGAGGTGCCTTGAACTTTGGGTTCTCCTGTCTCAGCCTCCTAAATAGTTGGGATTATAGGTGTGAGCCACCCCACCGATCTAGACATGTGACTTACCATATGTCGATTTAGCATTTGAAACATCTCTTGTGTAGAGTAAGACCTATAGGGTTTTTATTAGGGTGAATTTGGTTCATGAGTCATGAACTGTGAATTCTTCAGGGGGTTGTCATTTAAATTTCATTCTGCAGATCACTATTTAGGCTGTTGTTCTATTTGATTTATTGAAGATTTTTTGTTGTTTTTTCTGGGAACTGGGGAAGTAAACCCAGGGTCACTTTATCTTGAAGCTACGTCCCCATCCCTTTAATTTTTTATTTAGACAGTGCCTTGCTAATTGCAGAAGCTGGACTTGAACATGCAAACCTCAGCTTCCTGAGTTACTGGGATTACAGAATTTTCCCACCACATCTGGCTTTTTTTTAAGAGCTAATCTTTTAGCTAGGCACAGTGGTGCATACTTTCTAATCCCAGCGCTCTGAGACTGAGACAGGAGAATCACATGTTTAAGGCCAGGCTCGGCATTTAGTGAGCAATCCTGTCTCAAAATTTTTAAAAAATCAGAAGATCTGGGGATGTAGCTCAGTGGTAGAGTATATTTAATTCTCAGTACTGCCAAAAAGAAAAAGAAAACAAAAGGAACTCTTTAAAATGATGTTACAAGGTAATATAAGAAACATGAAGGAAGTGTAAGGAAGAAATTAATAAAAATTAAAGCAAGGACTGGGTATATAGTTCATTGGTAGAATGATTGCATCTTGTATACAAGGCCCTGAGTTCAATCCCCAGCACCACAAAAAAAAAAAAAAAAAAAAAAAGAACTGATGCAAAAAAAAATTGACTGTCTTTTCTCACCCGATGAATACTATGGAAAGGTATTCTTTGAGAAGATCCATAAAGTAGACAAGTGTTGGTGGTTTGGCATTCACCTTTTACTGATGTGGGGGAAGAGGGCAGATTTCTTCATTTTGAGAATTTTTTCAACCAAGATGCTGATGAAGCTCATCAGTACTGGAAATGTGTTCTGAATTTCTTATAAAATCCTTGATAATTCTAATCTTATTGGGTCAAAGGTGAAGTAGTTAATGTTTATTTCCCTCTTTTGCTATCATCTTGCCCCAGAACCAGTTCACAGTATCTGTGCTTTCTAGCCAGGCACAGTGGTGCATGCTTGTATAGCTGGGGAAGCTGAGGCAGGAGGATCATAAGTTTTGAGGCCAGCCTCAGGAACTTAGCAAGGCCCTTGGCAACTCAGCAAGACCCTGTCTCAAAATAAAAAATAAAAACTGCTGGGATGTGGTCAGTGGTAAATTGACCCTGGATTAAATTCCTACTTAAAAAAAAAAAAAAGTAATTGTGCTTTCTGTGTGTATGCATGTACAGGACACTGTTTTCTCAGCTGCTTGTTTTTTTTTCCCCCCCATAGCACTTATGATTAATATCTCAGTTATTTTGTTATTGTTTTTATTATCCTATAGAACTTTGGATCTTTAAGGACAGGACATTTCCTGTGTATCCCTGCTCTGGTTATGCCTACCACAGAAATAGGACTTCCTGATTATTTGGTGAAAGAATGAAAGAGTAAGACAGACCTGAGATAAACTTCTAGTAGCCACAGTAAACAAAGTAGAAACAGGTAAGGTTTTTTGTAATAATATATTTTATTTTGTCCCACATATTGAAAATTATTTTAGCATGTCATCAATAAAAAAAATTGATAATTACATTCTTTTTCTCATACTAAATCTTCATAATTCACTGGACCCTAAAGTTTGATTGTACTTATTTTGTGTTTATATCTCACAAAATTAATACAGAGGGGTAGCAGTGGGAGGAAGGGAAAGAGAAGGTACCTGCTTGGCTTTCCTCCACACACTTGTACCCGGTAGCTGTGCTTTCTGCCACCAACCTGGGCATGCTGCTTCCGGTCCCCCAGAGTCTATTTTGCCGTACTGCTGGCTGCACAAAATAGATGTCTCCTACCAGTGCTGCTGCTGGGTGTGGTGCTGGTGGCAGCTGTGGCATGGCTAGCAGCGGGCATGTGTACCTGTGAGACTGCCTCCTGTTGTGAAGGAGTTGGTTGCAGTTGGCTGCCAGCTGGTGGGTAGAGTGACTTGAGAAGGAAGACTGTTTTCTATTACCTGCCAAATCAGTGTGCATTGTGGGCCAGGATGGCATGGCAGAGCTGGGGATTCGGCCCTGTTTGTGTGGAGCTGGAGGGGCCCCAAAGCCATTGCCTGAGACTGCATAGCTTGGAGCTCAAGGATGAAGGTGTGTCCTACTGTGCCCCTAGTGCCTAGGTCAGCATTGCTGACTCTACCTGGTACCAGGTGGGCAGTGCCTGCTTGTGCTCGTCACAGACTGGTGGTTACAGGGATAGCTCCAGTCACTAGTGCCACCATTACCTGCTGCTTTATGAAGAGGCTGTGGATGATGATCCCTTGTTCTCCGGTTCTTGCAGGTGTCTACTATCTCCTAGCCAGCCATCATTCATTTGACCTACCCCCATCCAGAGTGAGAGATATGGCCTCCATTCTCCTGTCTTCCCTCCCCAATTCCTCCTTTCTCTCTGTTTTTAATCTCATGCCCATCCTACAAGAAGGCCATTTCCTGTTCTCAAACTAGTATTTCTAAAACGAGAATAAACTTGCTTTATTTTTTAAAAAGGGGGGGAAAATATGCCTGTAATCCCAACATTTTAGGGGGCTAAGGCAGAAGGCTTGCCAGTTTGAGGCCAGCATAGCAGCTTATCAAGGCCCTAAATAGTGAGACCCTGTCTCACAAAATAAAAGGGGTTGAGGATGTGACTCAGCAGTCAGTGACCTGGGTTCAGTCCCTGGTACCAAGAAAAAGCAGATTCAGGAACTGGGGATGTAGAGTACATGCTTAGCATGTGCAAAACAGGGTTCAGTTCCCATTGCATGCATACACACACAAATAGATTCAGATATCCAAGTTATTCCAAACATATTTGAGAGTTTTCAGGTAGCTAAATCGTGTTCATTTTTTTATTCTGATTTTAATTTATTAAGCAAAATTATTTAGTCATACTAGATCCTTAAGAAGTGGTCAATAACACTTGGGGTTAGTACTACTGAATTATACTGTATAGTTACAAGACTACCTTCTGGTCATGTGGAGAGTAGTAAGAATCATAGGAGATCAGGCTTTTAGGATAAGCAGCAGCATCCAAGTCCTGTTTGACAACTTCCAAACTGGATGATACTAGCCTAATTATAAGTGTTGTCTGAATTGTAGGTTTCTTCAGTATTAAGTATGGTAATGGTAGGATGATTATGATAATTATCTGAACTTATATATAGAAAGGTATTAGAGCAACCTCTGACAAATACCAGTCTTGTCAGTATTTGTGTAATTGTACTTGTTATTGAATACTCCATTTTTAGTGGCTTTCACATATGTTAACTGTAGAGAGAACACTAATGTATGATGTTTAATGACTGATGTTTGATGTTGATTAATGATTGATATGAATGGGACTCCACATAACCCTGTATGAAAAGGAATGGAGATTGCTTCTGTCCACTTAGATTCATACGCTGCCCTAAAGTGGTCTTGGCATCAGGGAAGGGAGCATTCAGGCACATTTCACCATCAGCATCCCAGGATGGCAGCCATTGCTTTGTCCCATGGTAAGTCCTTGTTGATGCTCTTTTTCATACTCTGTTTTAGGTCTCCCATGCAGAATATAGAGTCCAGTGGATGGTGCTTCAGCAGTCATGCTGCTGATTCATTTAGGAAGAACTGAAGTGGGACATAGAATGTTGTCTCATAATTCATCTCCCTGGTGTCTATGCTTTGGGAAGAGGTGCTGCATAATCTTCATGAGTTCTACCACCATGGGAAAATAGAGTTATATGTTTTCAGGGCTCAAGTTTTTTTTGTTTTTTGTTTTTTTGTTTTTTAACCTATAAAATGAGATCATTACCCTTTCCCCAGTGGGCAGCATGGCTCAGAATTGGCTTCCTGGGCTCTAGGTGAGACATGTCATGGCTATTGTGGCATTTCATGGTAATGTTGTATATTTATGTGGTTTTTGAGTGTTTAAGATTATGAGGGAATTTCCATGTAGGATGGAATGACTTTATAGCATGTGAATATAGGAATTATGGGCAACTCTGGGTTCTGATGCCATCTTTCTTTTCCATTAGGCCTTCTTTCCACGGAACCAGTCTGCTTTTATGAAGAAAAGACAAACGTAGAAAGAATGGTGACTGACTACCAGGCAAATTATTACCAGGTAAAAAGAAAGGGTGTCCTTCCACAAAGTGGAATACTTCTGTGCATTAAAGACATTGCCTTTTAGAGAGACTTTATTTTAATGGAAATACAGCCCCATTTAAGGACTGAGTCCTCATTTGAATTTCCTCAGGGAGTGGAAGCCTCAGATTGGTGAGGTGTTACCTTGAAAATCATCCCAGTATTTCAGTAATTACTTTGATCCTCATGATGCCCACTGCATGTTTCTCATTTTGCTGAGTGCTCTGACAGATGGTGAGGCAGATTAGTGTCCTTTTTTCAAATAATTTATTCATTAGCATTTATCTGCAGTGTGCTCAGGAGTGTGTTACAGTAGAGACAGGTAGGACAAAAGCTCCTAAAGTAGGTGTGCTGAGATTAATTCATGTTTAACAAATGATGTTCAAGGCATATATAATGGTAGGTGGTTAACAGTGAGTGAGTTTAGATAGAGAGAGGCATTCCTAGGGCCATTGAACACTGGGGATGGAATATGGGAGACCTCAGAACCATATATAGGTATTAAGCCCCCTTTCCTAATTCTCCAGTGAACATTGGTGGAAGTGTTAATTGGCTCAAACCAGCATGTGTGTAATGGTTTAGGATTCAGTGACCTTTGATGATGTGGCTGTGGAGTTCACCCTAGAGGAGTGGACTTTACTGGACACAACTCAGAGAAACCTATACAAAGATGTGATGCTGGAGAACTTTGAGAACCTGACCTCAGTAGGTAAGGCTGTCATTATTCCTTGTAATTTGATATGGAACAGATGTATTTCATATGCTTATTATTGTCTTGCAGAATTGACTGTTAATTCTGACTATAGTGGGAAATAACACATAGTTCCTGATATAATACATTTTAATCTACTGTGGCCATTCTTAAAATGTCATCAACACCATGACCTCACTAAGCCTGTTAGGAATATACACTTTCCTTCCACAACTTTGAAATAACTATATTGAAAACTTGGTTTGAGGCTTGGTTGTCTGTTTTGAGAAGCACTCCAGATCAATCTAATGCACAGTAATGTTTGAGAACCAGTGGGAAGAGTTGCTGTCCCATGAGAACAAATATCCTTTTGTTAGATTTGCTTTATTTTCTACTTGAAGATAAGTCTTAGCGTTTGTAAATGTGTGTGTCAGCTTTCATTTGACTATCAGAGTTTAGAGATACCCAATCTTTTGGGGGCACAGAAATGGAGAGACATGCCTTTTTCTTTTTTTCTTTTTGGTGCTTGGGATGAAAATAAGGGCCTTGCACATGCTTAAGCACATGCTGTATCAATAAGCTATACATTCAACCCATATTTTTCCATTTTACCCATTTTGAAATAATTGCTTTCATTAGAACTATAATTCCTTAGTCATAAGAAGGATTGTCATCTCTTGCATGAGCCTCTTCCATTCATGCATCTTTCCACCTGCACAGGATATCAGTTCTTCATACCTAGTCTGATCTCCTCGTTAAAAGAAGAACAGTTGAGGACAATGGAAAGTGAAGTTCTTCAATGTGAGTAAGAAGAACTCAGTTTAATGAGGAATTTTTTTCCCTAGTTCTGAGGATTGATCTCAGAGGCACTTTACCTTTTAGCTACACCCCACCCCTTTTTTATTTGAGACAGTTGATCTTCCTGCCTCGGTGTCCCAAGTATCTGGCATTATAGGCGTGTGCTACCTCACCCAGCAATATGGGAAGTTTTTTTTTTTGTTGTTCTTTTTTTATTTTTTTGGTACTAGGGATTGAACCCAAGGGCAACTCTACCACTGAGCTGGATCCCCAGTCCTTTTTATTTTTTATTTTGAGACAGGATCTCAGTAAATTGGCCATATTTGTCCCCAAATTGTGATCTTCCTGCCTCAGCCTCCAAGTAGCAGGGATTATAGGTATGTGCTATACATATGAGAAAAAATTAGTTTGCTTTTTGTGTTTGGGATTGAACCCAGGGGTGCTTTAATACTGATAAAGTAAACAAGGAATATTTGTTATTTCCCACCTTCAGAAAAGATTGGGAATTTCTTTATAAAGAACCAGTACAAATGAGAGATATTGAGAGAAATAATTTGCATCCAGTGGGAGGAATTCCTTTGGAGAGAGAATCTAAATACCATGAAGCTCTCAAAAAAGCACATTTCTGAATATATAACTGGATAACTTGATAACTTGGTTTAAACAATTTTAGGGAAATATGTCCCCAGCCCTTTTTATCTTTTAAGAAGGGTCTTGTCTGATATGTCAAGAAATTTGTAATGTTTTGAACAACCCACAATAAAAAATTAAAAATAAAAAAAAATAATAAACATAAAAAAAAAATAAGAAGGGTCTTGTCTTGTTACGTTGCTTACAGTATTGCTAAGTTTCTGAGACTAGCCTTGAACCTGTGATCCTCCTGCCTCAGTCTTCTGAGACACTGGGATTACAGGTGTGCACCCCCATGCCTGGCTAATATGGGAAAACATTTAAAGGTGTACTTTATTTCTGAAGCTTGAAGCCATTTTCCTCAGAATTTGAGATCTTCCACTTCCTATAACCTATTACTTTCAATCTACTCAAACATTCCTATAATCTCACAAAATTACCTATTCTGTTCCCTCTTTTAAGTTTATTGTTTCAGTATATGCTTTTCCTAGTTTTTACTTTCCTTTTCTGATAATCTTCACCTTAATTTTCACAGAATCTGAAATAAGCCATCTAAAATGTTGACCTTGTGTCCTTATTGCTGCTTTTTTTTTTTTTTTTTGGCAGTGCCTGGGATGGAACACAAGGGGATATGCTTGCTAGCAAGCACTCCACCTCTGAGCCACGCTCAGCTCTATTGTCAAATTTTTAATATACTAAAAATCCTTAAATCTGATATTTAATTTGCAAACAAGGACAGTTGACCCCTCATCATTTTTAATTTCTACTACCATTTATTTCTTCAAACCCTTACATTTCTTTTGCTGTTTAGCTTCAGAATTGGAACTCCAACCTAGCACCAAAGGGTCAGAGCTTCAGAATGACTGTATGACACAAACTTCCATTGGGATACAAACGGTAAGATTAACAAGGGGTATTTGTTATTTCTCACTCTTAGAAAAGATTGGGAATTCCTTTAGAGAGAACCAGTACAAATGAGATATATTTTTTTAAATATTTATTTTTTAGTTGTAGTTGTCAATGTCTCTACTTTTTCATTTATTTTTTTATGTGGTGCTGAGGATTGAACCCAGGGCCTTGCACGCGCTAGGCAAGCACTCTACCGCTGAGCCCCAGCCCCAGCCCCCAAATGAGAGATATTTGAGAGTAGTATATACCTAAGAGGAAGCAGTTCCTCTGGAGAGAGATTTTGAACATCATGAAGCTTGTTGCTTCAGAGCTTTCTCAAAAACACATTCCCAAATATGTAACTAGACAAATTGACATGTAGGTTTTAAACAATTTTATGGGAATATAGTCTTTTTACAGTTAGAGTCAGTGGCACAAGATTTTGATGAAAGGATCCATTATCCAATTTTTAGGAAATAAAGAGGTCAGGAAATCTGTGCATGAAATGGAAATTGTAAAAATTATAAAGACCATGGAAATGTCTGGGTAAAATTTATTTCACCTTTCTGAAATCCCTTAATCTTCATTCATGCATTCATCAGCAGGCAAGCCTCAGTGATGGAGGGACACTGTGTGACTATAAGCCATGTGGAGAAGTACCCATTGAACAGTCATGCCTTATGACAGATGTGAGAATGCAAAATCAAGGATACATTTCTGAGGGTAATGGGTATGGAGAAAACATCCTTACTCTACATAAACAAACCTCTACTGAACAGAACCTTTCTGAGTTGAATCAGTGTGAACAAGTCTTCAGCCTGACTCCAGATATGATGTACCAGGGAACTAGCATGACAGAGAAACCCTTTGAATACAGAGACAGTGGGGAAGCCTTCTTTAATCAATCATACCTTCAGGCAAATATGGGAACTCACAATGGAGGAAATCCGTATGAATGGGAGAAATATGGGAACGAACCTATTCATGCCACAGACCTTGATGTACATCTTCAAATTCTCAATGCAACAAAACCCTACAAATGGGAGGAATGTGGAAATGGCTTTCCATGTTTTGTATGCCTTAATAATCCCATGGGAACCCACACTGGAAATAAACTCTGTGAATGCAAGGAATGTTGGAGAGCCTTTGCAGTTTCCTCACACCTAACTCAGTATGTAACAATTCATACAGGAGAGAAATCCAAAAAATGTGAGCAATGTGGGAAGTCCTTCACTACTTTTTCTCAACTTTCTGCACATATAAAAACCCATAATGGAGAAAAGTCCTTCCAATGTAGGGTGTGTGGCAAGTCCTTTAAAAATAACGCATACCTTAATGATCACAGTAGAATTCACACTGGAAGAAAATCATATAAATGTGTGGAATGTGGGAAAGCCTTTCTCCGGTGGTCAGGCCTGACTGAACACATACGAGTTCACACTGGAGAGAAACCTTATGAATGTAAGGAATGTGGGAAAACCTTCTCTAGATCTACTCAGCTTACTGAACATATAAGAACACACACTGGAATCAAACCCTATGTATGTAAGGAATGTGGGAAAGCCTTCACTCAGTATTCAGCCCTTGCTACACATGTACGAATTCACAGTGGAGAGAAGCCCTATGAATGTAAGGAATGTGGGAAAGCCTTCACTAGGACTTCAGGCTTGATTCATCATGTAAGAACTCACACTGGAGAGAAGCCTTTTGAATGCGTTCAGTGTGGGAAATCCTTCATTACTTCTTCTCATCGTACTAAACATTTGAAAATTCACAGTGGAGAAAAGCCCTTTGTGTGTGATATATGTGAGAAAGCTTTTATATATTCCACATCCCTTAACATTCACATGCGAACCCATACTGGAGAGAAACCCTACATATGTAAGCAATGTGGAAAAGCATTTGCTGTTTCCTCACGACTAAACAAACACACAAAAATTCACACTGGGAAGAAGGCCTATGAGTGTAAAGGTATGGGTGTTACTATTTAGCCCATCTGTTGTGACCTTTAAAGTTGACAGTGACACCAAAGATCATCAGATTAGTCTTAATTGCCTTGTATGGGTTGTAATGGTTCAGATTATCCTTAGATGCCATCCTGATAGTATGAAATAAGATATGTTGATCCCCTGGAACTTTTTTTTCTTTTAGTAATGTTTGGGATCAACCACAGGGTTGATGTACCATTGAGCTACATCCCTGGCCCCTTCCCTGTTGCCCATTCACAGATACCTGAGTCTGAGCACTTGTGGATCTTAGGTGAGGTCAGTATTGCAGGTTGGCCTCATCCTGGTGCTTGGACTCATAGTTACTGTAGCATTAATACATGCTATATGAGATAAATGAAGATTTGGTTCTTATCCCTTGTTGATAAGTGGCTGCCAGTGTGGCTTATTCATGTGAAAATTCACCAGACTCCAAGATGATATAGGACACAGGTGAATTCTTGAAAGACACTCCTCCAAGCATATCCTCTAATCCCACTGATGTCCCACTGAGCATGCCAAGAAGGAAACCATCCTTACCTGTTCTTAATGGCTAGTCAATATTCGTAGCTGATTATCCCTACATCCTCTTCTTATAAGATCTAAGAAATTTACTGCTTTGCCTGCTGGGTTCTTTGTAGATCCAAGCAGCAGTGTCTTTGCTAGTATAATCTAATTTCTGTTTCTGACTTCAGTTTTTGTTTGTTTGTTTTCCCATTACTGGGGATAAATACAGGGTCTTGCCCATGCTAGGCAAGCACCCTGACTGAGCTATATCCCCAGCGATTTTTTTTTTTTTTAATTTCATTTCAAGATAGGGTCGCACTAAATTTCCCAGACTAGCCTATAACTTATGATCCTCCTGCCTCAGCATCCAGAAGGGTTGAAATTATAGGCATGACCACCATGCCCAGCCAACCCATGATCTTTTTATCAAATAGTTGTTCAACAACATTTTTAGTAGAAGCTTTCTTAGTTTTTGTAGTATGTTTAGACTAAAAGTTTTCCAAATCTCCGAAGCTGTGGTTCCTTTTTGCTTAATATTCTTTCTTCAGTTCAGCTCTTATTTTTTGTTTGTTTTGTTTTTGTACTGGGGATTGGACCCAGAGGGGCTTCACCACTGTGCCACATCCCCAGCCCTTTTTATTTTTTTGAAATGGGGTCTTGCTGAGTTGTTTAGGGCCTCACTAAGTTGCCGAGGCTGGCCTTGAACTTGGCAATCCTTCTGCCTCAGCCTGCTGCATTGCTGGGATTATAGGTGTGTACTACTGTGCCCACCTCAGCTCTTACCTTTTGCATTTTAATAAAGGAGTCAGGAGGAACCAAGCTACTCCTTCAACATTTTAATTATAATTCTCAGACTTTCAATTGTAATACTTCCAGGTTCTACCTTCTATGAAATGCTAGAATATAGTTCTACCAAGTTCTTTACCTCTGCCTTTCAAGGATTGCATTTTCTCCATTTTTTAATAATAGTTCATTGCCAAGTGACACTTCACCAGAATATCCTTTATTAATTTTTTTTTCCTGGCATGTGCTTTAAAAAATTTTCAGCCCTGATACATTACTGAATTTCAAAGCTGCTTGCACATTTTTAGGCAAAACCCCACTTTCAGTTCCAAAATCTGTCATATTTAGCTTAGGCCACCATAACAAAATACCGTATATCAAGTGGCTTAAAAAGTGATTCTGTTTTGAATAAATAAACTGAAATGATACAGAAATTTATTTTCTCACATTTCTGAAGGCCAGAAGTCTGAGATCAGGAGTACCAACCAGCACAGTCAACTTCTGGTGAGGCCTCTGTTCCTGGCACGCAGTTGCCAGCCACCTCAATGTGTCTTCATGTGATGGAGACTAAGAACAAGGTCTCTCTGTCCTCTGATAAAATCATAGCCCTGTTGGATTTGTTCTCCACTCTTTTGACCTCACTTCAGTAAAGTCCTAAAGACCCCCACCTTAAAAGTCATATTGGGGTTTAAATTAAACATGAATTATTCGAAGTTGCCACTTTAGGGCACATAAACACATAGATTCATTTATTTGGTTTGTCACCAAGCAGTCATATCTGTAGAGAATGACTATTATTCTAGTTCAACTGTTATTTTTTTTTTTAATGAGTATGATCTCCAGCACAATACTGACCAAAAGTAATAAAAGCAGCATATTGTTCTTCAAAGTTCTGATGAGATGCTCTCCATTTTATTGACTTATTAGGTTTTACTTTTTACCCAGTCTGTATAAAGATTTCTCAATATTCCTTAGTTTGTGAGGCTGCATTTCTCTTGGATTTATTAATTGCCTTCCCTGCATCCTGTGATCATGTTCATTCACTGGTAAGACTCAAGTACCTAGAACTCCAATTGGCCTATAATGCCTAATAAGTACTTGAATGAGTGAATGAATGAAAGGACTCTCAAATGTGGTCATTTATTGATTTTTATTATTATTTATTTAAATTTTTTTTTTTAAATATTTTGAGACAGTGTCTGGCCAAGTTGCTCAAGGCCTTGCTGAACTGCTAAAGTGTGTGGACTTGTAATCCTCCTGTCTCAGCCTCCCAGATCTCTGGGATTATAGGCATGAGCTACCATGCCTGGCTATTTTATTTTTTTAATCTTAACACTTTAAAACTTTTTTGTGCTGGTGATCAAACACAGGGCCTCACACATGCTAGGGAAGCAGTATACCACTGAGCTATACCCAGCTAGTGTTAACTTTGTGTTCTTAGATCCACTCAACTTGGACATAATGGATCATCTTTAAAGGTAACTTGCATTTACTAATGTTATAAAATATTCTCACAAATATATGTTTGAATAACAATGGCATGTGATTGTTCTGTAACAAAAAGCAGGGTATGTGCTTAGCATATGCAAGGCCCTGGGTTCATTCCCCAGTATTACCAAAATAATAATTCAAGAAAGACTTGAAAGATATTTTTATGTAGATTATGACAGTATCATACATTGCATTGGGGAATATTGCCATGTTTTCTAAATTCTTAACTTGGTGATTTATCCTGTTGATTTATTCAGATCTAGAGTAATTATTACTGTTTTAGGTACCCTTTTTCTACAATGATTTTAAAGCATTTGGTCAATTTCTTTTATGCTTATAGGACAACTAGGGTTTCCAATCCCATCTTACACATTGTGAGTTAAAATTTTATAGGCATGTTTTCATTTTCACTTGTGCAGCAAAAATTTGCGGGTTTTTTTTTCTTATATTTTTAATGTTTACTGGTTGGGTAATTAAGTTTACTTTAGGTTTCTTGCATTCTGGAATGATTTCTTTGTGCATTTTTAACTTGTGTTAATCTTGGCAAATATTTAGTTTTGTGATTTCTTTCAAAAAATATTTGTTTTGAAAAAATCTAAACTTTCTCATGTTTTCTATTCAGTTCTTTTTTGATATTAATATGGCTATATCACCCTGATTTTTTTTTTTTTTTCCATTTCTAAGTCTCTCTGACCCTTTGTATATATTCTGTTTGTTTTTTGGTGCTGGGAATCAAACCTAGGGCCTCATGCATGCTAAGCACGTGCTCTACCTCTGAGCTACAGCCCAGCCCCAGAGGTGTCTTTATACTTTAGTAGCTGGAGTTTAAAAAAAAATAAAAAATCGAATACTTGAAAAATCCTAACAATCCTTTTCTTTTATCTCGAACATTTAGTCCATTATGTATAATATAATTAGTAATAAATTTGGAGTAATTTTTAGCATCTTGTTTTTTTCTGTTTGTCCTTGTGCTTATCTGTATTTGTACTGGTATTTTTCATTGAGATTACTCTACTCTTGGTGTTTTAAATTTAGGTACTCCGTTACTTTTTAGTTGCTATCTAAACCATTAAATTCATTAAAAAATTTTAATTCTTTGTTAATGCTTTTTCTTTCTAACTAAATGGACCGGCCCATTTGCATTCATATTCCCATGATACACCTCCTGAGCTTCACACATGCAGAGACCCAGGAGTAGGTGCATCCTCACACAACCCATTAAACACATCTAAGTAGAAAAAAACAACAGGACCCTTGACCAAGACCCAGCACATCCTGTGACAGATTACAAACAACCACAAATTCTTTGAAGTTGCTCCCATCAGAAGACGGAGTGTTTCATTTTCCCTTTCATATGAACTGATCTTGTGACTTTGACCAATAGAAATCTGAACTGTGCAAGTTTGCCCTCAAGAGGCTTCTACTAATAATGGATTGTTATTTCCAGCTACTAAGCTTTGGGGATATTTGTAAATGTCAAGCAATAACCTACTGATAAATTGGTTCATGATATATATCAGGAGAGCCTTCAGAACCAGGCTCAGTCTTGAGAATTGTGTCATTAGTGATGGAGGAACTGGGTATCTCCTTGTAACCTCAGATGAGAAAAATCCTGATTCTAACTCAACTTCATAAGTTTAGGGGCCCAGGGCCCTCGCAGAAATTGGGGGCTTGAGGAACGGTTGGTGGGAATGCTGAAAAGTGGAATGCTATAAATTGTGAGAATGCTAAATTATTAGTGATTGTCAAAAGCACTGTCAGAACCCTTTAGCCTCTGCCATTCTTCCCTTTGACCCCTGAACCTGACTGGATGGACTGAAGGTGCAAGATTGTGTGGAAGCCCCCAGAATGGCTGTAATCAATAGTTATTCTAACACCATGCAGAGGCCCATAGTTGCTAGAGCTAGACTGCCATTCCATATTAAATTCCCTACCAAGCAAGGGCCCTCTAGAAACGTGGGCTGAAGCGGGAGGAAATCCGATGGGTCGTTTCGGGTGTGACAAGAACACCCCCATGGCCGCCTAGTCCCATTTCCGCCCTAGCCCCGCCCACACTCTACCCTCGGCCTTAGGTTCTGAGTGGGCGCGGGCCCCAGGCCCCATCCTCCCGCACTGCGCGGCCGACGCCTGAGCTGCCGAGCACCGCAGACCCTGGCGGTGAGCGGAAGTGACGTCAGTGGTCCTGCGGTCTCTTCCGGCCGTGCTTTTGCAGGAGAGATTTTTTGCGTTCGCCTGAATGATGCGGATACGCGCTAAAGGGTGGGTTGCGGAACGGGTTTCGCCGGGGAGCCTCTGTATAGAGGCCGGGCGTGCTCTGCCCTTGTTCGCCGCGGCCATGAGCCAGGGCCCGAGCCCGAGCCCCCCCGCCTTTTTTTTTCTTTCTTTTTTTCCGGAAGGAAACGAACCTCCGCTGGGTTGCGCTGTGTCCGACCAGCGCTTCCGCGGCTTCTGGTGAGAACTAGGAAACGCGGTGGGACAGGGCCCTCTTTTTACTTTTACTTTTTTGACAGAAACTAACGTTTTAACTGAGGATTTGGTTGTTTGGTTGGACATTGTCTTACTAAGAGCAAATATTACTTCAATCAAGACATTTAAAATCACGTCATGAAATATCAAGTCTGTAAAAAAAAATAATCTCTTTTGTATCAATGTTTGCTTTGGGTGTTTGGGGATCTAAGATCCGCTCAAGGTTTCTATATTAATTTTCATTTTTGGTACCAGGAATTGAACCCAGGGGTGCTTAACCACTGAGCCACATCCCCAGCCCTATTTAAGTTGCAAAGGGCCTCCCTATATTCTTGATGCTGGCCTCGAACTTGCGATCCGTCTGCTTCGGCCTCTCCAGCTGCTGGGATTAGAGGGATGCACCACTGGACCCGGCTTGCATTTATTTTTAAGCCATAAAGACTTCAAATAATGGGTTCTATCTTAGTAGTGGGCAAGTAGCCTTGTACAGTAGTAAATGGGCACAGCTTTCTTCTGATAAGTGTGTCACAGTTTTCCAATTCCTGGTCAGTAGTCTTTTAAAAAAGTCTAAGATCAGGCGAGGCGGGCAGCAATCAAAGGAGGCAGATTTAAAAAGGCCGCTGAAGGAGGCTTTATTGAGATATCACTCCCTGGGAGAACTCAGTCAGACCCACAGAGGGGACAGGAGAAGGGTCTGAGGAGAAACCGCGTGAAGCTTGACTGGACTGGACTTTTATGGGGCTTACAGCAGTAAGGGAAGGGCTTGGGACAGGAAAAGGTGTTTTTAGAGTCTCTTGTCCTGTTGGAGTTGTCTGAACTCCAGGATTGGCCAGAGGGTCCTGCTGATTGACAGGCTGTTAGTCAGGAGATCCCGCTGATTGACAGGCATTTCTGTCAGCACCTGATTGATGTTTCTTTTCCACGCAGGCTGCTTTGTTCTAAGTCACTGCCACCGACCTGACAAAAAGAATATTATGTGTATTTCAAATTGAATTTCATTAGAAAGACATCTGTTTGTATGTCCTTCTATTAATGTTACTAATTTTGATACTTGCTTAAGGCCCTAATCACATAGAACTGCATTTTAGAGACTTTTCCAGACTATTTTTTTTTTTTAGAACATGAAAGTAACTTGTAGTTTGATACTTTGGTAGGATCATCTTTTCCCCTGACACTCATTCTTCCCAATTGTTTGAGCATCCACCATGATTACCTGCAGTGAAGAATTTTCACTTTTCACATTTGTGGAACTACATTTTCAGGTAATATTTTCAGGTTGGATGTCTAGATCAGAGGGCAAGTGAATATTTAGCTTTGGTGTACACTAAATTTTCCCTTTCCTTGTATCTTGTATCTTGGTAGTTTCTGACTGGACCGTGTTCAAAAATAATTTTAGAGAGGGGCTGAGGATGTAGCTCAGTGGTAGAGTGCTTGCCTAGCATGCACAGGGCCTGGTTTCAATTCCCTGGTACTTAAAAACAAAAATTATTCTGGATAAAAATAAGGAACATACTTAAAATTTAACTACAAGGCACTTGTTTTGAAAAAGAAAATAAGTATTCTCTTATTCATGGTAAGAATACTCAAATATATTTTCAGAATTAATGTTTTGCAAAAATAGGGGTGATAAGATGGGGTGGGGGTTGGGGAGACGATCCTTCTACCAAAGTACTAACCTACAAATTACTTTCTTGTTCAAATGGAAAAGTCTCTAAAATACAGTGCTATGTTGATTAGGGCCTTAAACAAGTATCAAAATTAGTAACATTAATAGAAGGACATACAAACGGATGTCTTCCTAATGAAATTCAATTTGAAGTACACATAATATTCTTTTAAAGGCTACTGATCAGGCATTGGAAAACTATGACACAATTATCACCTAAAAATCAAAGGGAGAGGGCTGGGGTTGTGGTCAGTGGTAAAGCACTTGCCTAGCATGTGTGAGGCCTTGGGTTCAATCCTCAGCACCACATATAAATAAATAAAATAAAGGTATTGTGTCCATCTACAACTTAAAAAAGAATCAAAGGGAGATCAATAGAGGAAAAGGACCAAAAGGGGTGTGGGGGGGTAATATTGATCAAATTATATTGTGTGCATGTATGAATATGTAATAACAGATCCCGTCAATTTGTACAACTATAATGCACCAATAAAAAATGTGGAAAAAGGGGCTGGGGATGTGGCTCAAGCGGTAGCGCGCTCGCCTGGCATGCGTGCGGCCAGGGTTCGATCCTCAGCACCACATACAAAACGAAGATGTTGTATCCGCCGATAACTAAAAAATAAATATTAAAAAAAATGTGGAAAAAAATAGTAAAGCAAAAAAAAAAAGTTTTGGCTCATGTAGTTTTTCTCTGGGGCAATATTTTATGAGTCTTACTCAATTTTTACTTTGAATTCTGTTTCTGCATGTTGTGTTTGTGCTTAGTTAACAATGGTTATTTTCTGAAAGTCCGCAAATGATCACTGATTCTTTAAATTTAGAGGCTTACTGATGTGCTTTCTGCCAGGGACACTGGAACAATGATCATCCAAATGCATAGTACTTCCACCATGGAATTTACAACTTTGTCTGGGAAGACATATTTTTTCTGTTCATTCACACTTATCTTTTATTTACAGTACTGGCATTTGAACCCAGGTCCTTGCATGGTGAACTACATCCCCAGCCATTTTTATTTATTAATTTGTCAGTATTGGGTTTTGAACCCAGGCCCACTCTACCATTAAGCTGCACCCCCACCTTTTTTTTTTTAATTTTGATACAGCATCCCATGGGTCTCACTAAAAAATAAACATTAAAAAAATTCTCTCACCTCTCTCTCTCACCTCTCTCTTTAAAAAAGGAAAAAAAAAATGATTAAGCAGCTCTATATTTCTACCTAAGAAAATTGAAGGGATGACATTCTCACCCTTTTCCTAAGTAAGAAGGAATACATCCTTCATCACAGGCCATATTAATTTCTACGTGAATGTAGTCATGTTCTGAGAATTTTTTTAATGTTTATTTTTTAGTTTTCGGCGGACACAACATCTTTGTTTGTATGTGGTGCTGAGGATCGAACCTGGGCCGCACGCATGCCAGGTGATCGCGCTACCGCTTGAGCCACATCCCCAGCCCATGTAATGTTCTTATTACCTACAGACCAAATCGTGAATTTATCCTCCAATACCTTGTATATAAAGTAGAAATGGTGGGCTGGGGTGTAGCTCAGTGGTAGAATGCTTGTCTAGCATGCATGAGGCACTGGGTTTGATCCTCAACATCACATAAAAATAAACAAATAAAATAAAGTCATTCTGTCCATACACAACTACAAAAAAAAAAAAGTAGAAATGGAAAGGAGATAGAGGTGAATGATTATAGGTTATAGCCAGATGTGGTGGCACACACCTGTAATCCCAGTGGCTTGGGAGGCTGAGACAGGAGGATTGTGGGTTCAAAGCTATCCTCAGCAACAGCAAGGAGCCAAGCAACTCAATGAGACCCTAAATAAATACAAAGTATGGCTGCGGATCTGGCTCAGTGGTTGAGTGTTCCTGAGTTCAGTCCCCAGTAACCCCCACCAAAAAAAAAGAATAGAACTCAAAAGCGAAAAAAAAAAAAAACATGCAAAGCT